TTAGAACAACTATATATATTGAACATTCTCTTGCCTGGTATGATCTCAAAACGCAAACAGAAGTATTAAATTATAAAATTTTTTCAAGAACATTAGAAGCAATTGGTACACCTGGTTTAACAGGACTTGACAAACTTATTTCATATTATATTATTGCTGAAATAAACAATATAATAAATTATATAGAGAAGAATATTCGTAATAAAACGTGGACATCCACAATTGATCATTTCGATGCAATATTAACTTCTATGGATATTCATAAAGGTGTGTTATTTTGGGACATATCGTATTTACAGTTACATGTTTGTAATAAGTTATGAAAATTTATTTTATTAAATGTATGTACTTAGGTAATGTATCGAAACTTCATAGTTCTATCTTTACTCAAACAAATAAATTCTGCCCTCAACTATTAGAATGGATATTAAAAGTTGGGCATTATCAACTTCTTAAAAAGAAAATAGCATATGAATTAAACACTGCTTGTAAATTTGAAGCAAAACACATGGAAGCAGCACTTCAAACATTAAACAAGTATGCATAAACAATAACTTAAACAGTTGTCTAATTATGTTAACATACAAATGTTTTTACTCTTTATAATTTTACGATTTCTAGAGCTATTTTATTTGAAATTGATAAACAATATAATAGTGACCAAAATGAAGCTGAAAAAAATGATTTATTACATGAACTTAATACTAGATTAGATTGGGCTGGTATAAATAATCCTCATAACAATATTTATGTTAAATCACCAAACATAAATAATATTGAACTTATTATGTTTTTACTTACTATATTACAATTACCTAAACTGTATTATTGCAAAAATACAGGTAATTACAAAAATATACATCAAATTTAAATTTATATTAATCTGTGCTGGTATAAATTATTCTTATATTAATGATGGAACTGTTACAGGAAGTCTTTTGAGTAAAAAATCACAAGATCCTCTTGATGCTGTTGTTTTTGTTATTGGAATACAAACTATACTACGTCAATGTACTTTTTCCGCAATGACGCGCTATGTTAAATATCTTTGTACGTACGTTCTTTCGTGTGTTACCCCGGATGGGTATGTAAATATTTTATAGTATATTTAAGTTAAAAAAATATATATGCAGACTGTCCTATGTAAGTATTACCCTGATAAAAACTTTTAATTGACGAAAGTTAAATATAATTCAACTTTTGTTTAACACAATTTTTTGTAAAGTTTAAGGAAAGTGTTGATTGTGGCAAAACTTACCTGAGACACTCTGTATATTTTTATATTCTATGTATGTTTTAACATTATTGTTGTTATTTGAAGTGCAAAAACAGGAAATGATGGAGAATCCGAAGGGACTAATACTTTACATATTTTGGAGTTACTTATAAAATATTGCGGTATATCACAATCGCTTATACTCAGAGAAATTCCTATAATCATCATGGATCACTTCCAAGCCAAGAGTGCTAGATAAAATGTTAATTTAAAATAAT